TGTTACTCAGGGTGTAACTCAACCTGTTATTCGTCCTGATACTCAGCGTGTTATTCAACGTGTTACACAACGTGTTATTCACATGTTATCTACGTGTTTCCCACGTGTTATTCAGCGTGTAACTCAGTCTGTTATCCACGTGTTATTCAGCGTGTTACTCATGTGTTATCGACGTGTTATCCACGTGTTATTCCAATGATATTCACGTACTTTTATCCACTTATTACTCAGGGTGTTATTCAATGTGTTACTCAAGTGTTGTTCACGTGTTACTCAGGGTGGAACTCAACCTGGTATTCGTCCCGATACTCAGCGTGTTATTCAACGTGTTACACAACGTGTTATTCACATGTTATCTACGTGTTTCCCACGTGTTATTCAGCGTGTAACTCAGTCTGTTATCCACGTGTTATTCAGCGTGTTACTCATGTGTTATCGACGTGTTATTCCAATGATATTCACGTATTATCTATGTGTTATTCAGCGTGTTATACAGTTGATATTTATGATAATCAATTTATCCACGTTCGACTAAGCTTAAGACAGAAATATTTGAACAAAAAATATATATAAACCACCAATTATTTTTTTCTTACAAAGTTTAAAGATGTTACAGTATACCAACATATACAATTTCAATCAATTTATATCTCACTAATGGACTTCACCAATAGTCTAGTGTATGTTTCAGTTAGTTGCGGTGCATAGTATTCCTGCAATAGGGAAGTAATACCAAGTTCAATTTGAGTGAGTTATTTTAAATAAAAGGCACTCAAATGATATTGAATTTTAGCAACTTACCTGGGTAAGACAATCTGTCACACTTTCCTCGAATGCATCAACAACTTGACGACTAGTTGTTGCTTCCTGTTGTATTCTTGAATGCAATGGTTAAAGTTAGAAGTATGCATTATACATGGAATAAATGAAATACTAAATAAAAAAATTTGTACTTTTAGCTTTATTATTTTTCTCCCAATATCCTTTCAACCTAGATATAGATATTAATTTTGGTCTCTTTTTAGCAGAGTCGTTCACATTGCATTCTATATTTGTAACTTTTTTTCTTTTTTTTTTCTTTACTTCGATCGTTCTCCCTACTTGAACATCCTCAATATCTCCAGATAATTTTTTAAACGTCTCCCACAAACACTCCTCAGCTAACTCATTTCCTCCTGTTCTATTAAAGAGTTGATATGCAAATTTCTGATAACATGACGTGAATAGAAGGGAATTTGAAGAAACATTAATCAACTCATAGTCTTTTAGATCTCTGCAACCAAATCTGTTATACATGTCCCTTTTAGCATTGATGCACCACCGCAATAAGAATTACTTCTCCGGAATCACCTTTATTTTGGCGACACTGAGAACAAATAGTGCATGGGTGCACGACAGGCCTATCATCTCAATTTTTTTGCAACTGCATGTAACCTCACAAGTAACTTTGTCAACTAACACAGTCCAGAGTTGTCTTGTCCCCTCATCATCCAATCTTAATACGTAGTATTTAGCCTCACTTTTCACTGATACTTCAGCTGTAAACCCACATAAGTCATTCAGTAGCTTTCAATAGCCCTTGTTCAAACATTGAGTAAAGTTTCCTGCCTCAGCACGGGATTGACTTTAACTATGGGCGTTCTGACAGACTGACCGCATTTGAAATCTTCATCTTTCTTGTTCCAGCGCCACGATTTCATTATGGTTTCAAAACCGATAAAGCAATCCGTGAGAGAGGTAGTTGGTTTTGCAACACCATGACAGATATTATTGATTGACTCACTTCTCTGTGTTGATAAGATTCTCATACCAAATATATCTTTATTAAATGTTGTTGACCATATATGTCTTATACGGTACATTTCATTTAACCAAACATTGCTTTGTAGTTCTCCCAACTCATTCTCCCAACTCAATCATTAAGGACCACATTTCTTCGAACTCCTCAGAATCACACTTGCTCATGCATTTATAAAAAAGACCACAAACGCTTTTAGTACACACTCCACAGTGTACTTTAGAAGACAGTTTCTTGTAGATATGTCATTGACATAATCTGAACTTAACAGTGCTTTTAGGCTCTTTCTTGTATCCAACTTTTCCACAAATATAATCTTTGATCTTGAGTTTCTTGGAATTCGGCCAGTACGTAGTATGGTCCTTCCGAACAGTGAATCCTACGTGATGTGCATAGGCACGATAGCTTTCATATGCTTCTTCCTCATTGTGGACAATGCTGCTTAGAAACTTCTCTGCAATTGGATCATTACAAACGTGTGTTGTCTCACAGCACCCAATAACACTACATCAACATCAATATTTACATTAGACTAAGCCAACTATTATACCACAGTAACAGTACTAAATCAAAGCCAAGAAACAACATAACATTGGAGTAATATCAGAGTAACACCAGAATAACACAAGAGTAACACCAAGAAAACCAATCTTAACACCATAATAACATAAAAAGCACAGCAAAAAAACACCCTAAATTTTACCAGTAAACTATAAATATAAACACCACAAACAAAATGACAACACCAGAAACAGAATGAAAACCTTAAGCTAACATAAAACTAGAGATCATTACAACTCACTTAATCTTCAAACGTTCAGGTTGAATGATGAGTGTAATTCCTCCGACATCTCAAACGTTTTCATGGAGACCTCCATCGAAACCCTAGATGCGGAGATGCGAACGGAGCTGCAAAATATTTCTTCCACCTGCAATTGCGAATAGAACAGTAAGTAGGCTCGAAATATTTTTATGATGGTGGGAAATTTTTCAGGTTTAGAGTCGAGTTGGGTCGCGAATAATAAGATTTTTTTTCTATTATTTTTTTGTGATTTAATAGATGGGGTCAGGCTTTCCATGTGGCGGCATTTGATTGGCTACGCACGTATGTTTATATGCATAGTACTGAGGCAATATTTTTCCATAGAGCTGAGGCATTTAACCGAGCCGAAGGTGAAGAATGGGAGGTGTGCCTGCTGGAAGGGAGCAGGCTGAACCGTAAGGTAAGAAATTTTATAATAATCGTTTATATTATAAATTATTAATTATGAATTTTAATTTTTAATAAAATTATATTTTAAGTTAAAGTAGTTCCATAGTAAGAATGGTTATGGTATAAATTAATAATAAATTTTTACGCAATATAAATAAGTCTAACAAAAATAAATAAATAAAACAAATTACATAAAATAACTAGAAAGTTAAATTATGATAGCCAACTTTATTTTCAATATTTTTTAGCTTAAATTGTTAAATGGATAGCAATTATGATAATAATAAAATTATTAATATTATATGATACATCAGAGAAGAAAAATTATATTCTAATAATAAGATTAACACATAAGAAATTAATAATAATTTTTTATGCATCTGACTTCAGGTTTTTTATTGGAGATAAGTGAAGAGAATGTTTAGAATCATCAACAATTGAGGTGAGTATACATACTTTTAATTTATGGTAAGATTTTGGTTCTCGATTTTTATGCATTATTAGATAATTATATTTGCACGTATTTTACTTTGATTTATATATTTTACTTTATTTGTCACATTGTTAGGAATGTTTACAGCTACTTAATATTATATAAGAAATTAATAATAATTTTTTATGCATCTGACTTTAGGTTTTTTATTGGAGATAAGTAAAGAGAATGTTTAGAATCATCAACGATTGAGATGAGTATACATACTTTTAATTTATGGTAATGTTTTGGTTCTCGATTTTTATGCATTATTAGATAATCATATTTGCACGTATTTTACTTTGTTTTATATATTTTACTTTATTTGTCACATTGTTAAGAATGTTTACAGCTACTTAATATTATACATTGGTGTATATTCTATATAATATATTGAATTGAATGTAATCAGTACATCAATAATATATTTATGTAGAATGTTTATATGTGTATGACTGACTATGATGGAATCACTCTTGATAGTACTAGTACGAGAACACTTAGAAACTCATGCACGTATATGAAAAGGAATATTGATATTGTTTTGTATTAATTGACATAATTTTTATACAATGTTTATGTAACTATTGTACAGATATAGTATGATATTGATATGTTATTGATATAGTAAGGATCTTTGAATAGCATCAAATATTTTTATTGATTTATTAAAAGTTTGACTGGGATGCATATTCTTTCTCCTTCTCTTATATTACTGTGGTTTATAAGTATGAATATTCACTGGCTTATTTAGCTCATTATTATTCAAACTAATTTTTCATATAAATTAAGCGATTGATAAGCGTTTGAAGCGAGAATGTTTATAGAAGACGTTGACAACCAGTAACAAGTTAATTTTAAATATATTGTTTTAATTTAATTTGATTTATAGCTCTTTCATTTATTAAATTATAGATGAATATAAAAAATTTAGTTCACACCGTCCGACCATGTGTTCCCATCATAATTAATTCAAGTTCCGGATCTGGTCATGCTACAATGCATAATTTTTTTAATAGACTCAACCAACAGCAATTGCACCCTCTTCCTCGTAATTCACTTAATGCAAATCAAATGTGATTTCCACTTTAAAAACTGCATTAGCAAATAGGTCCCATCAGCAAGTAATGCAAGTCTAGCTAGTGCATAAAATGCAACAATCATTGAGGCGTCTGCAATTATTGTACATGTCCAAATTTAATTACATTAAGGTTCTAGTTTCAAGTGTGCTGCCAAAAAAGACTTCCACTGAAAAAATTTATCATGCGTTCTTTGATGTAAGGAATGTCAATGTTACAATCATAAAATTTTCATTTCAAAAATTTTGAAATAAATTACAAGATGGGTGTGAATTCAATCCAGGACAGTTTCAATAATCCCGATACAAAAGTTTATATTCACCATTTGGCAAAATTTCAATCATATAATTCAAGGAAATAGACAAAAACAAAACAACCATTAACATGAAAAAAGAAGCTTAAATATCATAGTCAACGTGTAGACGAAGAAGCATTTACATACCAGAAGAAGACTAGCCAAACGAGAAACATCATGAGGACAATATCTTTATTTATCATTAAGGTAATGTAAAGTGAACTTCCTCCATGTAACGAGAGTAAAATGTTTATTTACAATTTAAGAAAACCTACCATAAACATTCATAATACATAAAATGTGAACAAGTATTAATAGAAATAAATGTGCATCAGAAGGCACAAAGATACTTGAAGCATTCTAAAGATGAACATTAACACAATATCATTTATATTACTTACACTGATGCTTATAGGAGATAATTCCAAAAAAGACGCCTTCACATAGATTCATATTCAAACAGAAGAAGGGTTACAAGATTTTAAGCCCAAGCAGAGAGTTTAAAATAAAAAAAAAAACGTTGCAAAATATAACCGGGCCAAAACCAGCCCGCTGAAGCAAAGAAAATAGAAATGAAACTAACAAAATTGTTTAAGGCATTCTATCACAGGAGACCGCGCCACATTCGATACCCATCGGGATTTCAGCATCAAAACGGACCAACCAAAATTAGACGGAAGTATGGACCTTGTCGATTTGATCGACTGGTAGTAAGCGATCGAACAAATCTTAGATTACATGGAAATTACCGAAGACAAACGAGCTAAGCTTGCCGCGATCAAACATAAGAAAAGCACGCAGTTATGGTGGGACAACTTGCAACGGCGACGATAATGCGACGGGGACAACAAGATCACTAAGTGGGTCACAATGAAAAAGGCAATGCAAAAGAAATATCTTCCGCCCCACTATCGTCAAGACATGTTCCTCTGGCTCTACAAACTACAGCAGTGTGACCTATCCGTCGAGGAATTCACGGCACAATTTGATCATCTACAGATGAAGTGCGACCTAGTTGAACAAGAGAAGCACAAAATTGCCCGCTAACTTAGGATTTAAAACCTACCATTAGCAACATTGTGCAACTCCATCCATATTAGACGCTAAACGATGTTCAGACACTAACATTAAAAGTTGAACGACAACAAAAACAAGTCAAATCTCAAAAGTCCATCCGCCAGCAGTCGATATACAAATCACACCTACCAACAAAACCACGACTGAAACTGGCAAGTCATTACCAGGAAACATGAAAACCAACCCAATTTGCACAAAACCCGAAAGAAAGTTCCTTCGGAACAATTTATGCACGAAAATGTTTTGGCGCCACGAGTACAGACACATCGCTATCAATTGTCCCACACCCACGTTGTCTAATTTACTGAATAAAGCGTCGTCGAGAATGTCAAACAAGTCGAGGAAGCCCACTCTGTCAATTGTCCCACCACCCACTACGACACAGCATCTTTCGTACTACATGCACAGTCAAAGGCAAAATCTTTAGTTTCATCATTGATGGCGGCAGTTGCGAAAACGTCGTGTCCACCTTAATGATTAAGAAGCTAGGTTTAGGCACACAAAGACATCCACGATCCTACTCTTTCACCTGGCTAAAAAAGGGGAACGAGATCAGCGTTAATGAACAATGCTTAGTCGAATTTTCCATCAACAACCAACTACAAAAAGCAAGTGTGGTGAGATGTAGTCCCAATGAATGCATGTCACATTCTCCTTAGAAGGACATGGTGATTCGACCAAAAAACATAGCAAGATGGCTTCAAAAACACCTCACATTTAAGATGGAAAACGCATTATGCTTTTGTCTGTAAATGATATGCGAGCCGCGATCGACACTGAAAGAACATTAATCGCACTGGCCACCTTCCTGCAATTAGCGCGCGATGCACCGATAGTACTAGCCCAAGTCCTCCTAGAAGCAACTGACCACGATAATGAGATACCCACACAACTTAAACCACTCCTACATGATCTCCAAGGCGTCATGACTGACGATCTCCCAAACAGATTACCTCCACTGCAGGACATCCAGCATTCCATCAACCTCATACCAGAGCCAATTCTACCAAATAGACCCACCTATCGATTACGACCTGCAGAGTATGAGGAACTCCAACATCAGGTGCAAATATTGTTAAGAGGGATTGTTCTGCGAAAGCACCAAAACATGTGTTGTCCCCACCCTCATAACATCCAAGAAAGATGGCTACTGGCGGATGTGCATTGGCAGTCGTGCCATAAATAAAATTACAATCAAATATCGATTTCCCATATCTCGACTCGACGATCTTTTAGATCAGTTGTATTGTGCCACCTTCTTCACAAAAATTGACCTACAAAGTGGTTACCACCATATCATAATACGACCTGGAGACAAGTGAAAAACCGTCTTCAAAACACGAGATGGCATTATCTTTTAGATCAGTTGTATTGTGCCACCTTCTTCATAAAAATTGACCTACAAAGTGGTTACCACCATATCAGAATACGGCCTGGAGACAAGTGAAAAACCGTTTTCAAAACACGAGATGGCATATATGAATGGACAGTCATGCCTTTCCACCAGTACAACGCGCACGGCTCCTTCATGCGTCTAATGAATCAAGCTTTCGAGCTCATGGGAAATTCGTGGTGGTCTACTTCGATAATATCTTTGTTTACGATAAATCCAAAGAAGTACACCTACAAGCAGTGTTCGATGTCTTATGATTCAAACAAATATATGCACACCCAAAGAAGTGTCACTTTCTCACAAACCAAATATGTTTTCTAGGTTACATTGTGTCTAGCATGAGGATACAAATGGACCCAACAGAAATAGAGGCAACCGTAAGTTGGACCAAGCCACAATTTTTTACCGAGCTTCGACAATTTTAGAGGCTAGCCTCCTTTATTGAAGATTTGTACGCAACTTCAGCACCATCACTGCCCCATTCGCAAAGTTGTTGAAACGGAAAGAATTCACATGGATGGTCTCAGCCCAAAATAGCTTCAATATCTTGAAGGCTAAGGTCAGTCAAGCGCCAATTCTCACCTTACCTGATATCAACCAACCATTCGAGGTTGAATCTGACGTTTCTGGCGTAGCCATTGGTGTTGTTCTAAGTCAAAGTGGTCACCATATTGTCCATTTCAGCAAAAAGCTAAATGAGACTCAACTCAAATACTCCACTTACGACAAAGAATTTTATGTCATTGTTAGGGCTCTAGAATACTGGAGTCATTACCTACTCACAACCGAGTTCACCCTCTTCACGAATCATGAAACCTTAAATTTTTTAATTTGAAAGAATAAACTCAAAAGGTGCAACGCTACCTGGATAGAATTCCTAGCGTACTTCCAGTTCGTACTCAAAAACAAAGCCGGAAATCAGAACTACATCGCAGACGCTCTAAGTCGTCACCATCTTTTGATCACCTCCTTGTAGGCGCACGTGATAGGCTTTGAAGTTCTCAAAGACTTGGGCAAGACGGATTAAAACCTTAAGGAAATTTGAAAACAGTGTAAGGAGAAACCTCACGAGCAGTTCTAAAAAGCAAACAGCTACTTATTCTGTCACAACAAATTATGCATTCCTCGATACTCTTTATGCGTAGCTATCATCCAAGAGAACCACAATAACAGATTGGTCGGCCAATTTGTCCGAGATGAAATCTAGCACTCGTGAAAGAACATTTTTTTGGCCCCGACTAACACGAGGTGTAAAGATTTGTCATACTGCCAAAACAAGTGGCCAAACTACAGGATTGTCCACAACATTATTGGTCCCTGAAGCAACTTGGGTCGATGTCAGCATGGACTTTATCATAAAACTACCACGCACACAAAGAAATAAGGACAAGCATGTCTGTAGTTGACCGATTCTCAAAGATGGGGCATTTCGTCGCTTGCCACCAAACGTTGGATACGTCTCATATTGTTGATTTGTAATTTCCACAAAATCGTCTGACTTAATGGCATTCCCTAGACACATTAAATTTTTGAGCCACTTCTCGCGGACCCACTGAAGCAAATTAGGCACTAAGCTTCAATTCAGCTCTGCAGCATATCCTTAGACTGATGGCTAGACCAAAGTCGATAATATGAGACTTGAGAATCTTCTTTGATGCTTAGTTGGGAAAATATCAAACGGTGAGACCTCATTCTCGCTCAACCCGAATTTGCCTACAATAGATCAAAAAACCAATTCACAGGGCACACGCCTTTCAAAATGCGTACGGTCATAACCCGATCACACCCATTTTGTTAGTCCCTCTTCTACCACCAGCAGAGATCAGCGAAAATGCTACCAAGCATGTTTACCAAATTCAGCATGTTTACCGATCGCACCCCTTTTGTTGGTCCCTCTTCTAACATCAGCGAAAATGCTATTGAAGCTCCCCCAACCCCACATGGGACCGTCCCTACATGCGGTACTGTCCCGCAGGCGACCCATGCCAAGGCGTGAGTTCCTGAACCGGTCCAGCGTCATTGCTGGACAGGATCGGTTCATATATCCCTAAAGCGCAGGATCCCTCTCCTCTATCACAATCTTCTTTTTCCCGTACCCTAATCTTCCGCCTCCTCATACTCGTTTCCTCCTAGCCGTTACAGTCTCCCGTCTTTATTTCCTACCATTTCCTCCCCTTCATTTCTCATATCATACCTTTGTTAGTTGCTAGTCTTCTCCCTATTTATATGGGTTTTGCGTACGCCCTAAATGATTGTTGATTTTCTGATTTCAGGTAATGTTCCTGGTGTTTTCTCTCTTGCGAAGGGATGCATCGTTCGGCAGCGTGGTGCTATAGTTGTATCCCGCCAAGGTGGGGTGTATCTCCACTCTGTCTCCTCCTCCCGACCTTATTCTCCACTGTTGTCATCCTCCGCTGCTCCAGCCAGGAGAGAACCACATCCCTTACCAAACAGCAAACCGCAGGAGCCTCCTTTCCCTAACCATCGGATAGAGCCCTCAAGGGGAAAATAGGATGTCGGCGTCTATCATCACAAACTGAAATAAAAAAATTAACATAAGCTAAAAACCAAGACAGCAAACACACATAAAATTAGGAGATAGATAGGCAGGAAATGAAAACTGAAGAGAGGAGGGGGTGTTTCTCGTCAAGTGAAAAGAGGAACGAAAGGGCCGGTTCAACCCCCCTCTCAACTGAAGATGTAGTGTGGAGCACCTAAAA